ACCAGCCTGGCTTCAAACTCACCGAGCTCTGCCTGCCTCTGCCTCACGAGTTCTGGGATTAAAGGCATACGCCACCAATGCCCGGCTGTTTTTAAGCTTCTTAATAATATTTGGTACACCTTCAGGGAAAGGTATGTTTGGCCCAAAATCTTGTTGTTAAGACAGGGTTTCTCTATGTAACCCTGGCTGTCCTGGAACTCACACTGTAGACCAGGCTGGCCTCAAACTCTGAAATCTACCTGTATCTGCTTCCCAAGTGCTAGAATTAGAGTCATGTGCTACCACCACCCGGCTTATGGTTCAGATCTTAAATATCTCCCTAAAGTCCACGTGCTAAAGTGTCCTTCACCAGCCTGTGGTGCTACTGGGAGGCAGTAGAACCTTTTAGAAATGGGTCCTGGAAGGAAGTTAGGCCAGTAGTATATGCTTGTATGTGAGTGTTTGTATGTGTGTGTGCATGTCTCTCCTTTTCTTCTCTTTCTCTCTTCCTCCCTCCCTCACTCACTCTTCCCTTTCTCTCTCTCCCTTTTTCTCCCCCTCTCCAACCTCTCTCCCTGGCTCTCATTAGGTTAGCAATTTTGCTCTCCATACTCCCTATCATTGTGCACTTACCACAAAACAACAAGCTAAGTGTCCATGGATTAAAATAAACCTTTTCCTCTATTAACTTCCTTAATTCTCTTGTCACAAGAATGGGACAATGACTAACATGGTATTCAACCTTTTTTATTAGAAGTAGTAAGTGTGAAAGGTTATTTTTTTCTAGAAACTTCAGTCATTTGCAGTGGAATCATTCTGATCTCAGATAAATTCAAACTTAAGGTGAGACTAAAAACAGGGTTTTTTTGTGTTTCTGTTTTGTTTTAAACAAAACTGTCTGGGCTCAGTGGTTAAAAGCATTTGCAGCTCTTCCAGAAGACATGGGTTTGATTCCCAGCACCCACATGGTGGCTCACAAACATCTGTAACTCCATTTCCAGGGAATCTGACACCATCTTCTGACCTCAGCCAGCACCAGGCAGATACAGAGTACTACACATGCATGCAGACAAAACACCTATACACACAAAATTTAATTTAAAACAAAATAGCAGTCTAAAGACCTGAAGACCTATGGTAGCAAACACAAATCATGCAGTATACTTCACTGGAGACCCTCCCAGGACTGCTCACCTGGGAGTTGTACCACCTTAGCAACCGCACCCGAGACACCGCGTGGTATGGAAGTCTAGCTTGTGTAATCTAAGGCAAATCACGACCTCTCCATGTCTGTCTCTTCCAAATAAAAGGCTTATTGTAGTACTTCAACCCCTAGCAAGCACTCACTCTATTCTCTTTAACTTGGATGAACCAATCTTTTCTCAGCAGCCCTTTCTTTACACACAGCTGAACAATTTTATAATTTTTGATAACTAGATAATTTGAAATCACTATCAACTATAAAACAACACCCTCATAATTATGCTTATCCTAACATGATTCATGTCTCTCCAGAAAATATTTTCTTAAAACCCAGAATGATCATTTCTTTTAACTACAGTGTCTGGAATGTTCTCGAAGTTGTGATAGTGTTTTCAATGTTTGTCCTCCGCTTGATGATACTATTAGTGGTAGGGGTTGGTGAAGATAGGGTTTAAATGAGTTCACCCGACCCAAGATAAATGATAAACAGGTATTAGGATGGCACTTACACAAATAATAGTAAATAACCACCTTGGTCTTCCTGCTCCAGAAGATGCAGTCTCTGCCCTTCCAATGCTCTCACCACAACCCAAAAGAGCAAGCCAGCCCCTCCTCTTCCTTATAAGGGGTTATATCTGCACACCTGAAGCCACACCCATAGGATGTGGCCATGACTGCAAGTTCACTGGTAAAGCAAGATGCCACTACAGGTTGGTTGGATAATGATGACTATGAAACCTCTGAGATGGGACTTGGCTAGCTCCTCTTAAGGTTAGAGCCCAGCCCTAATTTATGCCTAGCTCTCTGCTTCCTAGTCAGCCACAATGTGAACAACCAATCATTGCCTCATGCTTATACCACATGCCTTTTCTGCCATGATGGACTGAAACTATGACTCAAAATAAACCTTCCCTCCCTTACACAGTTTCTAGTAACGAACTATAGAAATGATCCCTGATGTATTTTGTCAGAACAATGAGAAAAATGTTGTAATGTCTAATCTCATGAGATTTTATCCTCAGGGAATGAAGATGTGAGCAGAGGATAAGGAATACAAAATTCAAAACCAGGAAATGTTCAAACAAAATCACAAATTCAGACATCAAAATCAAGTTATCCACTTCTCAGAGATGCTTGTCTCTTTAGTAAGAAAGTCTCCTGCCTTAGGCCGGGCAGTGGTGGTGCGCGCCTTTAATCCCAGCACTGGGGAGGCAGAGGTGGGCAGATCTCTGTGGGTTTGAGGCCAGCCTGTTCTACTGAGCAAGTTCCAAACAGCCTCCAAAGCTACAGAGAAAACCTGTCTCAGAAAAAAAAAAAAAGCAGGGGAAGAAAGGAGAGGAGAAAGGAAGAAAGGAAAGAAGGAAGGAAAGGAGGGAGGGAGGGAGGGAAAGTAGGAAAGAAAAAGAAAAAGAAAGTCTCCTGCCTCTCTGATTTATATAACTTTTCCCACCTGGCTCATCTTTTTGCCTCTATAGCAGGCATGATGCTTCACCTATTTGAAGAACATTCTGAACTGACATAGCCCCTTCCCCAAAATGACAATCTCATACCTATCTCAGTTTATGCCAGCAATGTTAGTAGAAGGACAAGAAAAAAAGGAAACTTGCACATGCTCAGTAATATTTGCTGAGCACACCAGCATGCCAGGCCCTGCACTAGAAAGCTAGAACTCGAAACAAGCATAGCAATTCACATCCCTCAAGCTTTATGTATAGTGTGGAGGTGGACCCAACTGGCAACCATAAAATGAGTGGGTAATTACAAAATGCTGAGTACTAAAATTGAATTGTATATTGTTGGAAAGCCTTAGGAACAAAAACACAGTCTAACTGGGAGTAGGAAGCAGGGCTCTTCAGGACAAGCCACGCTAAGGAAGTGTGGTTTTGTGCCCTTCCTTTTGACATCCTCTCAGCTACCAAGTTGCCCAAGTTCCTGCTGTGCTTTAGGTGCACCCTGAATGACTACAGAAACAGAAATGGAGGGGGAGTTCTCAGAACCTTTTAGAATGTGAGCAATCATAGGCATAGAATTTTGAAGAAAACTATAAAGGTTAGCACCATGTCCTACAGTCAATCAGCAATCAAATGATGACTTTTATTGAAGCATCTGAAATCAACCCCCCTATACTTGGACAAGGCCTTTCAGCAGTCCCAGGGATATGCTGCCATCACTTTCAACTTAGCCACCTACAAGAAGAGTCCACTAAGATATTTATCAACAATACTCAGGTAAATTTCAGGTCATGCCAAATGGATCAGTAAAATGCTGTGTTCTACTATATGTATATTGTGCTACCCAAGTTACCCTTATAAAGATGGCTTCTCCATGATATGAAGGGCTTCAATTTGATGGGTCACAAATAAATTCATTCTGATGGTGATACAACTTGTGTCAAATGAGAACCATAGAAACTTCAGGAGATTTACTATTTCAATTTAACTTCCATATCACTCAGTTTTCCACATATTCTTACACCGTATTGTGTAAGACTACTTCTGGGACTTTTTCCTTTGGCAATGCTGGAGGTTAAATCCAGAGCCTTGCACATACTAAGAAAGTACTCTACCACTGAGCTATATCCCCAGCTGTTGGTTTTTGAATAGTGTCTGACTGTGTAGTTTAAGATGATCTTCCTGCCTCTACCTCCCAAGTACTGGGATTACAAGCTTGTACCACAATGCCTAGCTCCTTCTGGGATTCAAAAAAAAGCTGAACATAAAATGGTCTAAGCTTGAAAGGATACATGTATCTTATACATATTGATATACATATAATATATATGTATTTACATATATCATATATAAGTAAATATGGACCTTTCAAGTGGGTTTATGAGTCAGAAGTCTGATAAAAAGAGGAAGCTTGTGTTTTCATTGTTTCTGGGACATTTTCAAAGGTCAAAAGATCTTTCATCTTGTTTTAAATGCACTTCCAAAGCAACTCTTATGCTTAGCCTCTTAATTGCTCTCCCCTGTACATATGTGGGTTTGGTCTTCTGAATGATTGCTCACTCTCCACCCAATTCACAATATAACTTTATGACACCTCATTTTGATACATTTATTTTGGAACTATAACACCTCACTTTGTGAGTATAAAACAATCAAACTTCTGTTTCACTTGAGACAGAAAAATGTTGCCCTAACCCATGAGAATGCTTTTAAAATATTTTAAAAATCTTAAGTATTTTCTAGTAAAGAAAATTTTCATGTACAAAAACAAAACCCACATTAAAAAAAGCAAGATGACTCATGCTTGTAACCTCATCACTAGGGAGACACAGACACTGGTCTCAGGTTAATTTGAGACCACATCCTTAAGGGGAAAAAAGGTAGACAATGCCTGTGTCTGAATAACAACACCCAAGGTTGTCCCCCTGACCTCCACAAACATGCACACAATCTACAACCACAAAATAGATGGCCATCCTTGGCTACATAGTAAGTTTTAGACGAGCGACATGAGAGCCTAACTCAAAACACACATGAACACACACACACACACACACACACACACACACACACACACACGGTGTAGAGGGGGTGGATATCAGAGTATCAGAAAACTAAACCCAACACAAACAAGGAATGGTGGTGCATGCCTGAAACTCCTGCACTTTCAAGGCTGTGGCAGAAGATTGTGAGTCAAAGGCTATATGGGCTATAAAATGAGTTCTAGGCCAAGACTAAATAACAAGACATTGAGCTAAATAAAAAGACATCGTCTCTTTTAAAAAATTAAACTCAGGCCAGTGAGTGTTGGCACATGTCTTAAATTTCAGCTCTCAGGAGGCAGAGGCAGGCACATCTCTGAGTTTGAGGCTCACCTTTGCAGCACATACACTAAAATTGGAATGAGAGAAAGGATTAGCAAACTCCCTGCACAAGATGACATGAAAACCTGAGGAGTATTCCATATATTAACTTTAAAGAGAAGGTACATGTACATTTTCAAAAAGGAGAATAAGGAGGAAGAGAATTTTTATTATATTATTATTATTATTTCAGGCTGGTTAAATGGCTCAGCAGATAAGGCCAGTGCTTGTCACCAATCCTGGCCTTCTGAGTTTATTCCCCAGGACCCACATGGTAGAAGGAGAGAACCAACTTCTGCAAGTTGTCTTCTGACCTCCACATGTGCACAGACTTAAGACATAAACAGAATAAAGTTTTTTAATATGCATTTATTTATCTTATGTATATGACTGCCCTGTCTTCATACACACCAGAAGAGGAAATCAGATTCTTTTACAGATGATTGTAAGCCACCCTGTGGTTGTTGGGAATTGAACTTGGGACCTCTGGACCAGAAGTGCTGCTCTTAACTGCTGAGCCATTTCTCCAGCCCCCAAATAAAGGTTTTTTGTTTGTTTGTTTGTTTGTTTGTTTGTTTTTTAAAGAGAGAACATTTGCATATGTAACCCTTATCACCATCCATCACTACAATTTTTCATGCTCTCAAACTAAAACTCTCTAGCTGTTGAACATTCACTTGACATCTTTCCTCCCCTCATACCTTGACAACTACCATTCTACTTTCTGTCTCTAGAAATTTGATTCCAAGTGTCTCACATAAATGATATCAAGGTGTTCTCCTACAACTGGAATTTCACTCAGTGTAATGTACTTATAACATCTATATTGTAACATGTATCAGAATGTCATGCCTAAGGCTGAGAAAAATTCATACACAAGTATGTACATATACATTTGAATAAATATTTTGTTTATCCATTCATCTGTCAACTTCCATACTCAGGCCAATATATCCTGCTCTATCCCATCTTATCATCAAAAACAAATGAACATTTGCACCAGGACACAGGAGACCAAAAGTCTACTTACTTCCACTATGCTTTTCACATGCTCAAGGAAAATCTATAACCTAAACAATTTTATTTGTATAAATGGTAGTGAGAGACTGGGGACATGGCTCAGTTGTTAAACTGTTTGCCTTGCAAGCATAAGGATCTGAGTTTGATCCTTAGAACACACATAAAAAGCCAGGCACAGCAGTATATGCCTTGGATCCAGCACCAGGGAAGTAGATGATCCCTGAGGTTTGTCCACCACCTAGGCTAATTAGCTCCGGGTACAATGAGGGATTCTGTGTCAGATAGATAGACAGACGGATGAGGCTAATTAGCTCCGGGTACAATGAGGGATTCTGTGTCAGATAGATAGATAGACGGATGGATAGATAGATAGATAGATAGATAGATGAAAGTTTGCTTGACCCATGGCCTCCATGAATACACGAACACATGCATGTGCACCCTCACACACATATACACACAAATCCACACAAATGGTAATTAATAAAACCTCTCATGCACAAAGGTATAGGATAGCATGCTTACTTTCATTAGTGAATCATGAATCCTTGACCATTTCCTCAAATTCTAATATAAATGTATGTGCACTTACACAATCCACAAGAAAAGTGGAAGTCTTTTCCCACATACCTTGAAAATAAGTCTTAACATTTCAGAGTTCCATAACAATACCATAATCAATTCTATATAGCACATAACTGTGACAAAGTTTACAAGTAGATAATGTGTAATTATAAGAACTGTATAGAGTCGGGCGTGGGTGGCGCATGCCTTTAATCCCAGCACTTGGGAGGCAGAGGC